TACAAGGCAAGCGCTCTACCACTGAGCCACCTTCCTAGCCCAATCCTACTGTCTTTAATAAGTTTCAAGAGCATATAATTTTGAATAGAGGAAGCATTTCACATATAAACCAGTATCAATGCTGATTCTCAATTTTAAGCCACTTCATAAAAAGTGGTTCCATTTTTTTTTCCTGTTTAAAAATTTTCAGGGAGAACTGACTTACCTGAGAATATTCAAAGTCAGTGATTGGGGCTATGCTCTTGATATAATCTGATCGAAATTGGTTTTCAGGGTTGGCCAGTGGGACTGGAGGTATGATAGTACTCATCGCTGAGACAATTGTCTAAAATGAGAGAAATAAAACGATATGGAGAAATGGAGCATGTAGATTCCATGTATGATAATCTGAAATATGTCATTTCTGCCTATGCAATTTCTGAGCACAGAGTAATCTTTCTGGTAAACAAACATTAAGAGAAAAAGGTCCTTACCACAATAGCATCTTTGACATTTTTCCTGATGTCCAGAATTTTCTGTTTCTTCTCCCTGTATTGAAAGAGAGTTGTTACCAATTTAATTCACCCTTCACAAATTGAAATCAATTCAGTAAGATTTCAGATTTCCCATGCAACAGCAGGGTCTGGTTTGACTTACAAGTCAGTATCAACTCCCAAGACAACATCTGCAAAGATTTTACTTGGGAAATAAAAATATTCCTATCTTCTAATTTGTGCTTTAAATAAGTTTCATTTTATAACCTATATCTTTCAAAAACCCTTCAGCTCACAAATATTGCAAAATTATTATGAGTTTTGCATATAAACACAACCCAACAGTTATGCTCATTATTGACATGTTGATAATCGTAAGTTTAAATGATACTAGAAAGAGACACAGTTAGCTCTCTATATTGGGTGGTTCCATATTAGTGGGTTCAACCAACCAATGATTGAAAAAATTAAAAACTTGCATCTGTACTGAACATATGTAGACTTTTCCTGCATCACGGAAGATAACATTAAGGATAACTAAATGATAACAATGATTTTCCTTGTCATTAGGATAACTAAATTTACCTAGCATTTACCTTGTATTAGGTATTACAGGTCATCTAGAGATTCAAGGAGAATACTGTGCCATTTTACATGCAGCATTGATTGGAACCCTAGATTTTGGTATGGAGTGTGTGGGGTGTCAGATCCCAATGAATGAGGGATGGAAATGGAATGCTCAGAGCAACAGCAATATTGCAGACCGGCAACCCTAGAGTACCTAAGGAATTATTTTTCTAAGGATGTTATGTCTTAGCTAAACACCGCTAAAAGAAGATTTTGCCTAACTAAACAGAGCAAATTCTAATTTCTAATCCCTTGTGTCAATTCTAATTCCTAATTCTAATTCAGTTCTAATTCTAATTCGGCCAATTTCTAATTCCTCGCTTTCAGGGACTGTGTAGCAAAGCACCTGGGGGAGTCTGGAGAGAACTGACAAAAGTTTGCATGCGGGTTAGAAGGAAAAGCAGACTGAGCCTTCTTACTCGGGATTGAATCCGTTGACATGCAGGATCCTCATTTGTTTGACGATGGTGCTTTTGCCAGACTCGCCAGCCCCTGAGAACAAATAGAAAAAAACGTTGTCACCTGAGTCCTAGCGTTTCCCGGGACAGATTATCCTCCCGCCAGATGGGGTTTTCGCGGACAGGCGAGTTCCCCCAGGCCGCGGTCGGGTCTCGGGTCTCGGCGCCGGCCAGGCCCGCTCGGCCCCGCGCTCCGCGGCTGTGCGCTTGGCGGGCACCCGGAGCCGCCCCGGGGGCCGGAGCAGCCGCGCGCCCTCCGGCCTTACCCAGTAGCAGTAGGCGGTGAGTCGCTTTGTAAGCCAGGCGCTCTTTCTGCAACTGCTTCTCGATCTTTTTGTTGGCCTCGCGGCGTTCTTTTTCATCGACGCCCTGGTCTTCTGCGGTCTTGCTGTTGCCCAAGCACCCCATGCCTGCCTGCTCTGAGGGACTTCAGACAGGGAGAAGGCGCGCCAAAGGAAGAGACGGGTGCTGAGACCGACAGATCCTGCGACGGCTTCTCTCCCCGCTGCTGAAAGAGATGGGCTGGTCTCTCGGTGTTTGCCGATCCCCTATTCCCGATCCCCGATCACGACCCCAGATCCCCGGTCACCACGGGCGTTCTCCCCCCACCCCCTGCCCACCGCGAAGGAAAAATGATGGAAGGAAGACGCGCTGAGTAAAAATGCCTTTTTTTTTTTAAAAGAAAAGAATGTTTTAAACGTCCTTGGTAAATATCGTACAACTCACAGGGACCAGGGGCTGAGGGCGCCGGGCTCTGCTGGAGACAGCCAGGGTGGCGCTGCGCCCTCAGGTCGCACACCCGCGCCCGGCACTCCTCAGCGGCCATCCGGAGGGGGCTGCGCTCTCGGCCGGGTGCCGGGTCCCCGCCGGGGTGATGGCCACGGCGGCCAGGAGGGACGGATCGTGCGATGGGATTCCCCCTCCCCCCCAAGCGCGGGCCGTGGCCACCTGCTAGATTGGCCCGCACACCGCTCGGCCTTGGCGGTCGGACGCGCGCCCCCTCCCGGGTCCGGGTCCGGGTCGCTAGCTCTGCGCGCAGCCCGGGCTCAAAGCCCGGGGGTGGGGTCTAGAGGCCCGCCGGACGCCTGCGGAGCCCAAATGGGAGGAAGGGCCGTGGCACTTACTCGCTGGCCCGCGGTCC